ATAAAAATTTATACTTCTATACTAACATAAAAATATGAAATTTTCTCTTTTCTTTAAATAACATATATTTTATTTTGTTTTAGGTGCTAGATGCAGAAGGAGAAAATTTTATGAAGAAATTTGAAAAAAGAACTCAAGAAAGGGATGTATGTGAAGAAAGTAAAAATTAGGGGGTGAAATCCACCAAGAAAAACCAACAAATCCAACCCAAATCCAAATATTGAGCCTACCAGTCACTCTCACAAATCAGCCCATTAAAACCCAAACCCAAAAAACCTTAGTTTTTCGTTCTCTTTAAAGGGGAGAGTCACACAACTCCGATCATCAGTTTTCACCCCTTTCGTCACCGATCACCATTCTCATCACTCATTCCTCATCATCAATCTGCTCTCCTTCGCCTAACAACAGTTGTAAGTCATCTCCTCTATCTTATAGCAGCCGACCAACCATCAGGGTGATTCCTCCACTCCATGTAAAATTGAGATTTCAAACGATTTTATCATAAAATTACGAATTTACGATTTTTTCGTCCGATTTCATGGGATTCTGATTTTAACATAGATTTTACTCAAAATACATATCTAAAATTGTAAAATCGTACGATTTTATAATTTAAAACTCGATTTTAACAATTATGAATAGAAGAGTAATGCCTGAAAATATATCCCAAAACTTTCACATTCATACACGTTCCCACAAAAGAGATAATTACTAGATCACATGGTACCAAACAATTAATAGTGTTTTTAAATTGACTCGAGATATCAACTTTACCACATCTCGAAGATACAACAGATTTTTTCCATCCCACAACGTACTACGGTCACAAATTTATATTATCACGAATTCATGATGTCTTCCGCACTCCCCATGGGGAGTTGCAATGACAGCACCGATTGTGGTGTTCAAGCTCTTGGTTGTAAAATTATTAGAAAGGAAAAAATCTTTCTTAGGCCCTTAAACTTATCTCAAAATAATATTTAATTTCTCAAATTAAAAATAAAATAGATAAATTCTTCAATTTCACTGCAAATAAACCCTTCTCACAAATAGTATTTTATATTTAATATCACCTTGAAAGCATGAATACTTACGAATGAGAATAGTTTATTTGCATCATTAGTAGAGTTAGAGGACTTATTTGCTTCATTTCTAGTTTGAAGGCTTAAATGCTATTTTGAAATAAATTTAAGGGTTTAAGGAGGGTTTTTACCTATTAGAAAAGCTGCTCTTTTAAGTAAATAATTAATTAATTTATTTATTATGTACATTCCGTACGTTCAATTAATAAATGTAGTACCATTATTTATCGGTGGAAGTAAAAAGTATTACAACTACATTTGGACAAATACAAATTGGTTAAATACCTTTTTTTGGTCTCTCTACTATTGAAAAAAAAATTTTTTTTGTTCTTATATCGAAAAAATCTTTTTAGTCCCTAAATTTCAAAATCTGACTCTTTTTTAGTCCTTCTATTAGTTAAGTGACAGGATAGCACTATAATCTGTTAAATATTTTGTCTTTTTTCTTTTCATTGTTGACGTATTATTACACATTAATTAATAGAATGCCACGTGGAAAAAAATTGATGATGTGGACCAAAAAATTTTTTTTTTCTCCCCAAAAATATTTGAAAAATACAATGCTTATAAAAATAATAATGTGAATAGAAAAAATAGTAAATTATTATAATAATTTTAATTTTATTGGATTCATTTAATATATAGGATTAAATTTTTTATTTCCTTTGATTAAATTTAATAATTTTAATTTCATTTTTTTTCAGTTCCCTCTCCAGATATCAACTTCCTTCTTTCGAAATTCTTGTTTTTATTCATAATCAACCCTTAACATCTGAGATTCATCAAGATATAATTGAGAATTTATAAGAATATTTTCATTGATAAAAATAAAAATTAATTACTAAGTGATTTATCAATTCGGTAGACTCTAACTTCTTCTTTGTAAAATAGATTATTCTCTTCACAGTCAAACCCAAAACTTTGTGTCTCTAATTCAAAATTGAATATGAAACTTTGGTTTCATTAGATAGATACATTCAAAAAAAAAAAAAAAAAAAGGGGTAGGAACCCAGGTTCTAGGTTCCGCGCGGAACTCAGATTTGGGCTCCTCATGGGTTCCACGGGGAACACAAACCTAGGTTCCGTGAAAAAAACCTAGAGGAACTCAATTTTTGGGTTCCCATGTGGAACCCAGATCTAGGCTCCTTGTGGGTTCCATGGGGAAACCAGTTTCTGGGTTCCACAGGGAACCCAGAGGAACCCAGTTTCTGGGTTCCATAGGGAACCCAGAACTTGGGTTCTTCAAGGAAGCTAGGATGATGAAGAGGATGGCAAAGAGGGGTGAAGATGATGCTGAGGATGAGGAGGAGGATAAGGTGAGGAGAAAGAAGAAGATGAAAGAAATTAATGTTAATTATGTTTAGGGAGAAGACAAGGATAGAAATGGGAAATGAAAAGACAAAAAGAAAATGATGATTTTTTAAAAAAAATTATATTACAACCTATTAATTATATGAAAAAGTTTTTTGTCCACATCATCAATTTTTTTTCCACATGGCATTCTATTGATTAACATGTAATAACACGTCAACAATGAAAAGAAAAAAGACAAAATATTTAACAGATTATAGTGCCACTATGTCACTTTAACTAACAGAATGAACAAAAAATGGTCGGATTTTAAAATTTAAGAACTAAAAAAGAGATTTTTTTCGGTATAGGAATCAAAAAGGAGCTTTTTCAATAGTAGAGGGACCAAAGAGGGTATTTAACCATAAAAATTTTGGAGGAGAATGTTAGGTACAATTTTAACTATTGATTTAAGCTTGAATTAAGATAAAGTCGACTTTAACTTGAGTTTAAAGCTAAAAGATATTGCAAAAATTCTTTCTATCCAAGATCCATTAGTGCTTTAATGGAAATACACCCATCACTAATGAAGCAAATTAAGGTGGAATTATTTTAATGTTTTGAAAATAACTATCAATTACTATATCTAATTAAACAAACATATTTTGAATAATAAATAACAACTAATATTATATTTCAAATATTAATTATCGATTATTAATTATAAACTATAAATTTTATTTAAACAATTAATTTAAACGCCCTAAAATGCTGAACACATTTTTTAGGATTATTGTAGTGAAGCATACCTGTTCTAAAAACACAAGCCGGTCAATGCAATTTATCACACTAAAAAGATCATAATCACGATATAGATCTAAAAAAAATGCCACATTTAACAACTAAATTACTTAATTTCATTGAATCCACTCAATTACTTAAAACAGATGGAGGAATATATTGAATTTCCAAAGGAGATAAAGAGGATTCTATATGTTGTTTTCAAGAATTGAGGTGGAAGATTTCCCCAATCTTGCTATATTCTGTCTCTAAGAGTAGTACTTAAATAAGCGATGATCCTCTGAACGAGCACCAGATAATTTAATCACATGGTGATGGTGTTGAACATAATTATAGTATGTTCTCCCCCCAAAAGACTGATTTTTGCATAAAACAATTCTATCCTCTTGAAACACAAGGCATATTTAACAACTTTTAGGGATAAAAGAGTGTTTTTTTTAACCATACTTTCAGTCTTCAGATGAAAACCATTCATAATTTCGTATCTTCACTTACACTTCAACTTTATATGTGTCTTGTCCAGAATTCATCTTGTTTGAGAAGAAAGAGTGCGAACCTCTAGCTTTCCCATTTCCTGGCCTAGTTTAGCAATGTAATGTGGTGTTTGATTTACACAACAAAAAATAATGTTATGCAGTTTAAATTATAAAATACTAGTTATTAATAAAGAAAAGTCTTTGAAATTAGGAGGAGACCCCTCTATCCAATAATCAGTGCTTTATAATATAATATGTAAACTAATATTTTACAATTTGATATAATTTAAATTATAAAAAACTAAACTCTTAACACTATTTTAAAAAAAATACTAAAACCTTTTCTTTTTTTTTTTTGATAAAAAAGTTGAAGTTGACTAAAAAACAAATCTTCCAACAAGTGCAAGTGCTTTAAACTAATGTAAAAAATTGTTTGTAATTTGCAAGATTTTTCTTTTTTTAAACTAGTACAATTGAAAGATGAGAAATGAAATTATCAAGACTTAAATTTTAGATTTTTAGATGTCATAACACTTTTTAAAAAAGTTATGGTCATTGGACCACAATAGTGATTGGCAATTGTAAGATTTTTTCCTTTTTTTGGGACAAATATAGATTTAGGAGAAGGGATGTGAACCCAACATCTAAAGTTAAAGATACATTTTTCTATAAAGGTTTATAACAAATTGACTTTTTAGGCAAGTTGCATCAATTTGTAAGATGTTTGATGCTGAAGTTACAACCATAAACTAATAAACAAGTACTTGCAGAATAAAGCTTTTAAGATTTATTTGGATTTCACTTTCTTGAAAGATATTTTAGAGAAGCCACGCAACGAAAGCTTGGCTTGTCTCAAAAAATTTAGTTTCTACAACCCAGATACGAAAATAGATGAAAAGTTAACCAATTGCGAAAAAGAAAAAAAGGTATTGATGTCTAGTCCCAAATTTAATATCTTTCAATTAAGTGATTGTTATAACCTAGTTTTAGGTGTTAAATTCATAGGAAAATTATATTAAACCAATAAAAAAAAATTGTCACAATAAGAAATTAAATTAAAATATGATTTTTAAAATTAAAAATAAAAATATTTAAATAAAAGATGATAATTATAGATGATTGAAATAATAATATAATGAACAAGAGTTTAAGATTCACTTAATTAATTTGTTCAACTGTTATAAATTTTTATTCCTATTTATTACTCTCAATTGCACATGTTTCTCATCCCAAACAAATAATCGAAAGATTTAACTTTAAATGTCAATAATAATAATTAATGTATTTATTTTAAGAAAAATTAATTTTAATGAGGAACAAACTTGTCTATAGTTATGAGCCATCCAAGAGTAATAATATATCTAATCAATAATACTATAGTAAAGGATCATTCCATAAAACAAACCTACCAATCAATTATATTTTAATAAATTACACATAAAAAGAACACAACTAATCTTATATAAAACTTAAAAAATATAATTTTTAGGATTTTCAATCTAAAAATCATTAATAATTTCTCAAAAATAAAATTAAACAATAAAATCTATAAATGAATCAAAATAAAATAACAAACTAAATTTCCTGATCAAAATCCTCCATAGACTTATTGAAAATTTAGCTGTGCTTTGACATAATTTTTTAGTACTGAAAGAAAAGTAAATAAAAACCTAAAAGTTGCTTCTTTAGATGCTAAACTTAGTTTTATAAGCTCTTATTTATATTAAGAATAAAATATGAGTATTTGGTAACTAGAATGATAACTTGGGAATTAATTTTATTTTATTTTATTTTTCTTCCCGCCCAATCTTCTCAAATAGGGGTTGGAACTTGGTCCAAGGTGTGGAACCCTGCCAATTTTGTTTTTGTGCAACATTGACCAAGGATTGGAACTTGGTCCAGGGTGCGGAACCCTACTTGCTTCTGTTTTTCCTTTTGCGTTGGTCATGGGCAACTTCACAAATTTTGCTCTTAATAAAAAATAGAGAAAATCCCACTTCAGCCTTCAAATCTCCAAATTTAATTCTTGGATCCTCATCTTTCTAACTCTTTACATTTAAGTC